GCCCCCGGGTCTATCTTCATCATATTAAATCTTCTAATACTTAGTTATTTTCATTGCTTTTATTTTACTTTGCATCTTTATCATAAAAATACCAAAAAATATTATCTTATCATATCTATCAGATCTCACTCTCGTAAGTGACTGTGTAGGGATTGACAACCCCTTACCGCGTTGGTTGCGAGGATTTATTTGTTTTGTGTAGGTGCGAGGGACTCGCGCGTAGCCTCCTACTGGATTGATACCTTGGTTCTCAAAAACTGAGGGAAATACTTACGCTACTTTACTGCACCACCCTTTCCTCTTCAATGGAAAACCAACGCAAGTGCTCAAGAGGTAGCACTTATTCGTGTTGGTTTAGTGATTCCTCTTGTGATTTCCCTCTTTTTTCCCTCGTGTTCCTCGCAGAACCCTCGCCTTTCGTGAAAGATCGGCCGATTAGGGTTCTACCCTACATCATTGAATATATATGGTTCTTGGTTCAGTTGGCTAGCTCGCATGAGGTGCCAGCGTGACATCGCTTGTTCATACCTCACGGTCGCATAATTTTTTGGTGTTCTTTTTTCTTTTTTGGTTTTGGAGTTGAGGGACTAAGTTTTATTGGTTTGTTTATACCTCACAACTTTTTTCACACAAAACCATGTCCACGTTAGACAAGGTCATCAAAAGCGACATTAGGGACTAAATTTGTTCGGTTTTAAAAGTTAAGGACTAAGATTTACTGAATTTGGAGTTGAGGGACCATTTCTATACTTTCAAAACGTTGAGGGACAGAAATATATTTTCCTTCTTTTTTTGGTGCACGCTCATATGCCCCTCAACATCTTTATCTTCACCTCAACTTTGACTCTCCTATTGGCCCATGAACTAATTCTCGAGGCGGCTTATCGATTTCAACTCATTGACATATATAAATTGGTAGGTTGCGACATAAGGAATAAGGAAGCGAGGTGGTACTATTTAACAGTAGTACAAACCCTTTTTGTACACAATAATGAGCTAGCGGGTTGCCTGGCCGCCACTGCAGCGGGTCGGGTGCCACTACATCTCGGCTGGATTCGACGGGCTAAGGCCCAGGTGGGCGATGCATGGTAGCAGGTATGACAAAGGAAGCGGGTGTGAAAAAAACTGTTGGCTTTAGGGCCGATGGTGGACCGCAGGTTGTTTGTCTGAAAAGTCATGAGTGTTTTTGCAAAATGTCACCACAGCACACCAATATCAATTTCTTCTATTAGTAGGTAGATATAGATATAGATGTAGATTATTCTTTAGGGGAAGGTATAGATATACATTTTACCGAATTGTTAAATCCAGGTAGGTTATATTTAGTGGGCTGCATCTAAGAGCATCTCCACTCCCCCCCTAAAGAGCCCCCAAGGCCTTTTTTTTACCGTCAATGTCTAAAAATCGGCCCAGTCGCGCTCCCAAAAGTCCAAATTTCGCCGATTAGGGTCAAAATTGGCACTAGCGGATCCAGGCCGAACCCGACGCGTGGGGGAGCGCCCGGGGGAGGCGTTTTTGGCGCGAAAATCCCACGGGCCCGCCGAGTCAGCGACCAGCTGTGTCTCGTCTTCCTCATCGCCTCGTTTCTCGCGAGGAATCAATGCCAAGGCTGTCGCCGGTCAGCCTTCCATTGATTTTCCCACGGGCGGCGCAGTGATGGCCCGGCGACGCGCCATCCCCTTCCGTCACGCGTACACACACGTCTGCCGCCCCCGCGGCTATAAAAAGCCACCCCCTTCTCGTCGGTGGACACACTCTCGTTCGCCCGTAGTCCCTCTCTCCTCGCCGCCGGCCCATCCGGCCATCCCGTCTCTCTCGCCTCGACACTAGCCACCGCGAGTATGATGGGTGAGCGTTTTTCCGGCGACGGTGCGGCGGCCAACAGCTTCGGCCATCGCACCCTGAACATTGTGGGAGGCGCACCTCCTCCACGAGGTCAACTACCCGACGTCGCCGGACATGCGCGCACCGGGGCGGTGGAGGCTCAGCGTCGGAGGTGTCCCAGTCCCCCCGCAGCCCGACACCGAGCACCCCGCCTACTTCCACGACGAGATTGAGCGCGCCCGGGCCTCCCTGTCGGAGGAGGTGCGCGGTCGCCCGAAGTACGCCACCGACAACCATGCCAGATGGGTGGCGTACTTCCGCTGCCACCACGAGGAGCAGCTTGCCTCCACCAACAGCGCGCTGGTGAGGGGGCGCCACAACGCCAACGGTCGCCACCTGTGGTGGGGCGTCCCCGGGCGGACGCTGCACTTTGTCCTTGAGGGCGGCAACCAACCGCCGATCTAGTACCCGCCAGGGGTGCGGCACGGGCAGCGGCGGCGTGAAGAAGGAGGCCGACGGCGGCGGCGACTACAGCGTCTTCGGCGCGTTCTTCGGCATGTAGGAGGGGCGGCGGACGGCAGCACAGTAGTTTTTATTATGTTTTTAGTTTTGTATTTATGTTTTTAAGTTTTGATGTACAAATATCAATGAAATCGCTTAACATGTGTCGGATTTTGTCGTGTTTGGCCGAGTTTACCGAAAATATCGCCGGCATGTCCCAGGCGGTGCTCTAAGTTATCTGTAACCCTGTGTTCAAATGGGCCTTTTTTTAGAACGAAGGCTCGAGAATGAGCCCGGCTTTGAATTAACAAAGCCATCAACCGGCCAGGAATTACAGCCAACAAGAGCAGCCCAACGCCACTAACAAAGAAAATAAAACAAGAGCGGCCCAAAGATACATGGGTGCTGAAGATACAACTTACAACACAATCCCAAAGTACAAGCACCTAAACAAGGTAGAGATGAAGAACCGCTTGGAGAAGGGACCTCCCTTGAAGCTCGAAACACCGGCGCCTTAGGAAACATCAGCGACAATGGCATTGCCAACTGCCTTGGCCACAAACACGCCAAAAACTCCTGCACTGGACCAGAAAGATACCACACCTTCCTTCTCCCTCACCGAAGAGGGTCCCTACCCCCTCGTCCTTGCTCGAAGGACGCCGCACCGTCGAGCGAGGGATGAGTTCACCCTAGAACAAGGAAAGGCACGATCTTGGGGTAGCAGACACAGAACATTTGCTCGCATCCGTGTCGTAGCAACGGGCATACCTCACTGGGCATTTAAGCACAGACCGCATGTGTCCAAACAAGAAGAGAGTAAGCTGTAGGAAATGGCACATCGGAGCTGAAGAAGCATCGAGCTTGCGGCGAAACAACTGGGAAACAGAACATGCACAGGATGCGAGGGATATGGCCCTGGTGCTCATTGAGCTGCCGAGTCTTTGTTGCCGGGAAGGGGAACCCTTTCCTCTTCCACCCAGGCTCAAGGGAGCCGAGCACCGGCGAACAAGGGACGACCAGCAAGCACCAAACAGAAAATGGCAAGCCCGACATCTCTGGAAACCACGTTGTCACACTGACCCCCGCTGCAATTGCAAACCTCGGATCTAGCACCGCACACCTACACCCTTCTAACCAGACGACGCCCCCAGGGAGGTTATGACGCTGAGCGCCGCCGCCGCCGAATCCGCAAGGGATTACATGATTTAACCTTGGAATGGAGGGGAAGGGGTGGGAAGAGGGGATCTCGACGGTGCCTTCAAGAAGGGGAGCCGCGCCCGAGGGCCTGGCCACCGCCGTGGTCGGAGCCACCAACCAGGGATTTCTCCCGGTCCCGACGGACACCACCGCAACCAGCTACCAACAGAACGGCAAAGAACACCAGCGCTAGCACAGGTTGTGAGCGGGCTAGAGGAAAGAGGAGAAACAACCTTCAGATCCGAGGTCAGAGGGCCGCCGGAGCAGCCCACCGACCACGCACCGCGTCCCCCGTCGTTCGCCGCCCACGCGGCCGAGGACGAAGACCCACACCCGCGGCCGCGCCTGCCGCCCAGGCGCCGCTGCCTTGCCAGATCCAGGGCCGCCGCCCCGGCTACCTAGGCCCTCCACGCTGGTGAAGCCGCCAGATCCCCGCCGCCACCTTCATCGGTGTCGCGCGCGCGTGCCGGAGGGCACCTCGGGCGACGGCGGAGGGTAGGGAAGGGGGAGGGAGGGGTGGCGGCGGCGGTGGTTAGGGCAACCCCCGAGTCGCCTCAGAGGAGA